CAAGCCTGTGGACTTCAGCTCCTGGGCCGGCTGACATGTGCCAACGTGTGTCATGCTCACGGTGTTTGAACAGAGAGCAAGGGCATGCACCGAGCCTTACGGGGCATGGCAGCAACTTTAGAGTCGATGCATTATGGACCAGAAAGCCAAGAAAGCAACTGCAGAAGGGAAGCACCACGCCGAGATAACCACCTCGATGTCAGTGCTGCAGAACAGCTGCATGAACAGGGGAAGCCGGCGGAGCAGGAAAACCCTGAGGGCTCCCCAAAGCAAGCGGTACACGCCGTAAATCACGCTGCCTTCGGCAACAGCCGTCGGACAGCAGGAGCGAGGAACGGTTGGGCAGCATCTTGAAGAAGACATATCCGAAGCAATTAACATCTCGGAGACCCCAGTGAGACAGGGACATATGGAATACAGACCCAAGCTCTCCAAAATAGGCAGCCTTGATGCATTTTGTTCCTGGCCAGCCCCCTTGCTAATCCTTCTCTGTCCTCTGGTCACAGCTCTCGGCCGGTCACAGCAGAGCATCTCTTCCAGCCCAACAGTTAAAAACCACGCAAAAACCTCAAGACTGAAGGTTTTGGAAAGGAGGTGACCCCGGTTCTCCGTGCCCAAGGTATGTGACCCTGGTCTGCGTCACCCCAACCGTCCCTTCCAAACATGTCCCACCAAACAAGCTCCAGCAAACACTGCTCAGCCCTAAAAACCCACGATCTAGGTGGTTCCTCCCTTCTAATGTGCTGCTGTGTCTGCCTTAAGCTCAGTTCATCCAAGAGCTTCTTCCACTTGAATTTTCCTGCATTAATGCTGAACTGAAACATCTTTTTTGTTTCACTGCTGGGCTGGTCAATCCCTGGGACACACTTGTGCAAGGTGATGCTTACCGACACACTCCCAGCAGGATGCGGTGCTCAAAATCCTCCAAAGAAACCCAACCCAGTCCTGAACAGCCCCACGGACAATGCAGCCCCCTTTTATAACTCAAATCTGGCACTTGGCAATCCAGAAAAAAGAAGAAGGGCCACATTTCCACCCCGATAGGCAAAGCCAGGGGAAGAAAGTTAATTTTATGGCACTAGAAGACGACCCAGCACCATCACTAGCTCTTCCCGCAAACAGGTATTTAAGGTGCATGGTCCTGCACAGCTCAGAGTTTCCAAATTAGTTCCTTATGCCGCTGCTCTAAAGACAACAAATGAACTGAGAAAACTTGTATTACAAATACATCAGAGAGAAATCGAGTAGTTCGGAGTCACAGGAGAAATGTCTCCTTATTCACTAGGATGAGCCTGGACCATCAGTGCCACAGCCCAGTGCGGCAGTACCACGGGTTCACGGATCCTGGGCTGGAGCATCTTCTCCCCAGTGTCTCAGACCAGGATTTTCCCATCTCCTGGCTTTGAACCTTTTAAATTCTTTCAGGTCACCTTTACAAAGCTTACTCTATTGCCCACGTCACACGTATGCACTGACCACTTCTCAGGGAAGCTGAGACCCCCAGCACGGCAACGCAGCTCCGCTCCCTGGGGTCTTAAAAACAAGAAACCCAACCCTTCCCTCTTCTCCTCCCAAGGCACCCTGCTAAACGCTGCGAGATTTGCCGCAGTATCACCAAATATCATGATTTTAAGTTCCGTGGTTTGCTTTGGATTTGTTTTTCTCCAGCTCCCGCCTGTTATTTAGATAACCCAGACCCACGCTGGTACCGTCTGGTCAATCACAGTCACAGCAGACAAGTTCTCAAACTCCCCTTACTGGGCGAGAAGACACCAGTTGTGTAAAACCCAGGAATTGCCTTACCTCTGCAAGGATCATTCTTCACTAAAAATTCATCCAGGGCCATCCATCCTCCCCCGACGCGGACCATGACCGTGCTCCGCAGGATACGGACCAGCCGCAGCTGCTGGGAATCGCCGAACTGCGGAGCCAAGAAAGAGTTCAGGCAAGGGGACACAAGAAGGGACACTCCGCTCCTTCCCGCAGCAGGCTGCGCCCAAGGCTTTCACCCATCTAGGGAACACTTTTAAGGTTTCTCCAGATGGGCTCTTCTGGAATAAGTGCAGGCCAGCGCCAATTTACAGGAGTTTTTCTGCTGCGTGGTTTTAAGATGATGCTACTATCCAAATCCTTTAGTTTTAAAGCTGGAAAGGGAATATTTTTTACAGCAGCAAAATGAGATTTTGGAATTTGGTTTTTGGATGGGTTTTCTCAACCACAATTGTAGTTTTTTCTTTTATTGTGAAGGAAATGGAGGCTGGCAATGCAAGGACCCTTCTGGTGCAGCCCATGTGGGAAAGAGCCGGCTGATTCTGATCACTGAGTGCCGGTGAATCAGCAAGGGAAGCAGCGCTGTGTCACCGCCGAGCGAGAAACCTCTCATCGTCAAGTCTGACGTCCCGGGAATTTCACCGAGCCTCAGACTTGACCCCACCAGCCCGAAAGCCCCCGCTGCAGAGATCGCCCAGTGAGGATGTTTCGGTGAGTGCAGAGTGATGGGAATCCAGGCTGGAATCCCGCAGCAATGTTGATTAGTGATTGCAATGTTCATTAGTGATTTTAAACACCTGCAATACCAAACAAGTGCACCCTGAATCGGAAGCAGCTGCCTGGTTTTCAAAGCTCCCTAAATCTGCTGGACAGCCAAGCCCAGGCTCCTGGTTGCCCTCTGCCCAGCAGAGCCGGTGCAGGACACCGGGAGCCTGGTTCGGATGTAGCAGCTCTGCATCCAGCTCTACAGAGCACCCGCTGTGATGGGAAGACAAGGAGAACCAGCCTTCGAAAGCAAGATCATTTCCAGAATGATTAAAAAGAAAGGAAAAAAAAGAAAAAAAGGCAGCAACATCTTCCCTGGATGGCTAAGAACCTAAAACCCAAGAGATGACATGAGAACAGAAAGTGCCAAGCCTCACTGCGATGGGTCACGGCAGGCAGCGGGGCAGGAGGTAACAGCACCTCCGACCCTCCTTCCCGCAGGGCCGGGGGACCCTGGGCCGTGCACTGCTGGGTCTCCCTGCTCGGGGGTCCCACCA